CTCTTACACTAAGGAGAAGAAGAAGAAAGAAAAAGACAACATAGGAGACTAGACTATAGTAGAAGTGGCTAGGGAGGAGGAAGAACAGGTGAAGGAAAAGGTAGCAGAGTTGGCGCCTGCTCGGCTACAAAGTGAACTCCACTCTATCTAGGAAAAACACATGAGTTCCCCTATGAGTTCAGAAGAAGAAATGTACAGGAATAAGCTAAACGAGAGGATTCCCTTTCCAGGAGGCTTCATCATCAAGTTTTTGGGTGGTAATGACATATTTTTACATAATTATAAGGTGTTAACAGATGTTGTCGCGCTGCTGAAGGAAGAGGAGAAAAAAACTCTCAACCATTTTTGTATTTGTAGATGTAACAAGTAAGTATTTACCTCATATCACAAGTTTTTAGAGCTTCGCTGTTAAGGTTTTCAATTAGTTGTTAGGGTTCCTCCTATGTTTATAAGATTACGGGTTTGATGTTAAGGTTACGGGTTTGATGTTAAGGTTACAGGTTTGTTGTTTAGGTTACGGGTTTTTTATTATAGTTATTGATAGTTACGGGTTTGATGTTAAGGTTACAGGTTTGTTGTTTAGGTTACGGGTTTTTTATTATAGTTATTGATTTGTTGTTAAGGTTACGGGTCTGTTGAGGTTTGTTGTTTAGGTTACGGGTTTTTTATTATAGTTATTGATTTGTTGTTAAGGTTACGGGTCTGTTGCTAAGATTTCAGGTTTAATATTAAGGTTATGGGTTTGTTGTTAAGGTTATGGGTTTTTTGTTATGGTTATTGATTTATTGTTAAAGTTACGGGTTTGTTGTTAAGTTTACTGGTTTGTTCTTGCTGTTAATTGTTAGTTGCTAACTATAGTTTTTGTTTTGTCTCTGTTTGCAGTGTTATTAAAGCGTACACCGGACCAGTGGGGTCTATTACCCGGCTTGAGATCCTCAATATATTACGCAGTGGGTGACTGGATAATGCAGTAAGATTTTTGATTGGTAATTATTGATTAGCATATTTAACAATACTATTATTAATTACTTGTTGTCAACTTATTATAGCTTGTTGATACGCTGCTAGATTTAGTGCATGAAAGTTAGAGAGAGTCGTCTAGTAAAAAATTTAGGGTGGTCCCTGTTTGGTTTAGTGTAAGTTTATGTCTGGCATGGCGTACTCCTACCTATCTATTGGAATATATGTTAAAAGGAACCTGATCAGGTTAATTCTTTATTGCATCACCAGATACATGTGGCGAAACCAGATTACCAAGAACTATACCATATCTACATCAAACACTTGGTCGATACAGGGTGTACTAACCTCTTAGTTCTCATTGTCCAGGGGGGATCATTGGCATCTACTGGAGTTTGATTTCAAAAATGATATTGCCAGGCATTACGACTCCTTAAAGGAGAGATCTGGACATTGGGAGCTTGTGCTTAATATTGTTAAAGCATTCAACTACATTAAAGCTGACTTTGATGAGAACCAATTGTGCAGCGTATTCGACCCATCAAAGTTCCATGCGAGGAGCAAAAGGGATCGTAAGTTTTCTGGAACCCTTGTTGGAATTCAATATTGGAAACTGATTGTTAAGGTTACGAGTTTGTTGTTATGTTATGTTTGAAAGTAATAGTGGTCTCAATGGAGGAATGTTTTTGTGTGTAGGTATGACTGTGGGATCTACGTCTACCAGTTCGTAAAAGCTATTATCGAAGGTAGAGATGTCCTGCACGATCTACGTCTACCAGTTCGTAAAAGCTATTATCGAAGGTAGAGATGTCCTGCACGTCACGCCCGTAGAGCATAACACATGGGTAGTTCGTAAAAGCTATTATCGAAGGTAGAGATGTCCTGCACGTCACGCCCGTAGAGCATAACACATGGGTAGTACGTGCGAAGCTAGGAGCGTATTTACTGATTGAAGGCAGGAAGATGAAAGAAGATGCGAGAAAACTTGACGATGATGACATTGAGATGTAGATTTTTTGTAAATGATATATTACAATTCTTTATTAATAACGATATACATGTAAATATTATAAATATTTTGGTTAACATCACAAAGATTTAAGCTGATCAACAAATCCAGAACTTTCTGTGCAATCCCATAACATTGACCCCCAATCCATAAAACTTGACTGCAAACCCATAACATTAACAACAAACCCCTAAGCATAACAACAAGCTCATCTGCAACCCACTTACAATGGACCAACCGGTAATTCAGGACAGTTAAGATGTAACCCTAAAAAAACCCTAAGCTCAATAACACAATGTGAAATAAGCCCAATCTTAACAACACACCCCCAATCGGTAACCTTAACAGCAAACCCATGAGTCTAACAACAAACCCGTAGCCATAACAATAAACCCCTAAGCATAACAACAAACTCAACTGCAAGCCACGAACGTGAATGTTAAGTTTGCTATTTTTAACTTAAAATTAGTTGTCATGGTCACCAAAATATATTTGTTGTCAAGTTTACGGGATTGTTGCTAAGCTTATTTGTTGGTTGTTAAAGATCGTGGTTGTGATCAAATTGTGTACTTGGTTGCCAAGTTTATTGATTTATTGTTAAGTTTATAATTTATTGTCAAGCTTATAAAATTGCTGTCAAGTTTATGGTTAGGTTATCAATCTTATCGATTTATTGTTATGTTTGATGTTGTATTGTACAGTTTGTGGATTGTTTATTAAGTTTAGCTCGTGGTTGTCAAAGATTAAAATTAAAACCAAATCCGTAACCTTAACAACAAACCCAAGAATTCAACAAACAACAAACCAAAGAACTATAAGTTCAACAACACAATGCAAAATAAGCCCAATCTTAAGAACACACCCCCAAGGGGTAACATTAACAGCAAACTCACGAGTTCAACAACAAAACCGTAACCTCATCAACAAACACCAGAGCTTAACACTATACTAACCTTAACAACAGACGTCAAGCCAAAAGGCTAAAACGGAACAGCAACCCCGTAACCCTAACAACCAAGGAACCTTAAGCTCAACAACACAATGTGAATTTTCTGTCGGTATTGTCCTGAAGTAGTAATAAAAATACATAGCCTCAGCAACGAACTCATAACCTTAACAACAAACTCATAAACGTAACAGCCAACACATATCCTTAACAACTAACCCTTATACTTAAACCTTAACAACAAACTCATAAACGTAACAGCCAACACATATCCTTAACAACTAACCCTTATACTTAAGGACAGACTCGTGACCTTAACAACAAACACATATACTTAACATCAAACATCTTATTATAGCAACCAACTAGTATACGTAACAGCGAACAAATAACCTTAACAACCAGTCATTAACCTAACCTTGAAAACCAACTTATTACCTAAGCAACCAATGCATAAGGTTAACAACTAATGGCAAAACCTATCAGTGAACTCATAAGAAAATCTGGAGTGTAATTCCTACGCATTTTTCGACGTAGTCTGCGTGTTCTGCGAAGTTCAGGATTCCCCAGTGGAGGTAGCATACAAATTCGCGTCTGTAAATCCATTACGCCGACAATACTCGAACATCAAATTTAAGTCATTGTCATTATCAATTGAAATACTAAATTTTTTTCCCTTTCGCATATGAAGTTCAGTGAAAGAGATTACATTGGTATTTTAAGCCTTTCCGACACTTGATATTTCAAACTGATTATTTTTGTATTCTCTTTGATAACGACGAATATATTATCACCATCTTTGTTGGTTTTTGCCTTCGTTACCGCGCAAAGAAGAGATCCATCCCTTATTTTATTACAGGGAGTAGTTGAAGAATCGAAGAGGCTTTTATTGAGGAGAATTAAGTGGAAGGAACAGATTAGTTGGGGTAATAGAATGGGGAGGAACTTAACGATTTTATTATGGAGGGAAGGGGAATATCTCTGGTGATAATTTTGAAGGGAAATGGGAATTTCCCCCCAAAAAACGGCATTTTAATCACCATTTAATGGCTACAGTTAAAACGCCATGTTTCTGACGTGAGAGGGCGACGAACACAGGCTACGAAGGGTATTTCGGGCATTTCGTGAGGGGTTTAAACGGAGTTACGCCTGGGGATTCGTTTTGGGGGATGGAAGAAAATCGCGGAGCATTTTGGGGGCAATGCACCCGTTGAAAAAGTCTTGGGGGGGAGCACGTTTTCTTGTGTTTTGGGTCTAGAAGCATTTTTCCCTAAAATTAATTATCAGCGTGTAGGGGTAGAATGGGTGCATGATTTTCCACGTACAGTAGATGTGTTGGCTCAGAGAGATTTTGAATGTATAAGCGTTACAAAAGAGTAAGGAAATGAGGGGATTGTGTTTTTTAATCATTGATATAATTCTGCCTGTGGCAGTGAACTATGTTGATTTCAGTTATACACCTCTTTGATTTATAAAGATAGTGTTTATCGGAACTAAAATGTTGAATTGGAAAGGGAGAAATGCATTGTCAATCTTTTAAACAGAACCATTGACTTGTTTTTTCTATTTCTTTTTTTTTCGTTTTTCCGTT